GGACAGCCCTTCAGATACTTCAAGAGAGCCATCCTGTCCCCCCTCAACCTCCTCATCTCCAGACTGAACATTCCCAAGAAGTCCCTCAGCCTTTCCTCATAGAGCTGGTTCTTCTCCGGGGCCCCAATCATTCTTCTCGCTCTCCTCTGCACCCCCGCTCCATTCTGCCCACACCCCTTTTTGAAGTGAGGCCTCCAGAACGGCACCCAAGACTCCAGGTGCAGCCTGAGCAATGCAGTGTACAGCAGGACTATCACATCTTGCGATTCGGATGTTATGCCTCTTTTGATACACCCCAAGATCGCATTAGCCTTTCTTGTCGCTGCATCACACTGGCTGCTTATGGTCCACCCGCACCCCAAGACCTTGTTCACACACACTGCTAATCAGGTGCTTCAAGGAAGGCCACGGGGGCAGAGCAGGACGGCAACAGGCTCTCCCTTGCCATTTGTATCCTGCCTGTGCACGTGGAGGTTCCCTTCAGCTTTTGTGGGTGCTCGCTGTCCTCAGTGTTCAGATCTGAAACTCGCAGCGAAATGTGTTGCCCTCATCCTTTGGGGCTCTCGGTCCCCCTTGGCTGACCCCCACATCCTCCTGCGGATCCTTATACCCCCCTTCCTTTTGGAGGGAAGACCCCATAACCTGGACTGTGAAATCTGTCACCAGGAGCCCGATCATCCCTCCCACCCCCCCACCCCATTTTTTAAATACCCAGAGGTTTGTCTTTGTAATGGATTTTTATTATCTCTCACTGATCTGGAAGCAAAGTTGAGCAGAAATAAATAAATGTCATGCTAATTGTTTCTCTCTCCCCCCCCCTCCATTTTCGGTGACCCTCTCAGCTCCACGGCCGATCGCGAGAGCAGCGCTACACCAAAGGGGCTGACTGGGAGTACATTGCGGAGTGTGCCAGGCTCGCCAGCCCGATGCCTCTCTTCGGTAGGGTGTTTTGTGATGAGTCCTCCTTTGTTTCCGTCTCAGCCCCTCTGCGGGTGTGGTGCGGGGCAGGGGGAGCCGGGCACAGAGGGCCAGTCCCCAGTTCGCCACCTCCTCTCCATCCGGGCCACTTCTCCGAATTCACCTCTCGCCCTTGGCGTGGGCTTCCGGCAATCAAGGGATCGCGTCCTCCCCTTTGTCTTTCTGGCACATTGCCGGCCGGCAGCTAAATTAGCCAGGGGGCCAAGTGAGGGGCCGGAGGCATCTCCTCCCTACTTGCTTCTAAGAGGAGCCGTCCTGAATCAGACCCAAGGTCTGAATGTTGTTCTGCACCCTCAGGATGCCAGGACTCAGAGAGAGAGAGAGACAAATTGCCTGTGAACCTGGAGGTTCTAACAGCCGACAGTCACGCACAGTGTTCACCTCCATGCCCGTTTGTCTGATCCAAGGGTCCCCAATATTTTTTGAGCCTGCAGGCGCCTTTTTATTATTTATTTATTTATTTAATTCGATTTCTGTTTCCGCCTTGCCTGACAAGCAGGCGCAAGGCGGCGTACAATAATAATTTAGAATAAAAACAGATAAAATTCTAGCAATAAAATATAAAGTGCAGATTAAATACAAACGATAAAGTGCAGATGGCCTTTGGGCTTCTGACCCAGTGCCGTGGTTGCAGCCACAGAATGGCTACCAGGGCATTATTTTGGGGGTGGAGCTTCGCCACCCACAAGCCCTGCCCCACCACATGATGATGCCAGACACTCCCCCCCCCCAGTGCCCCTAGCCCCACAGCTGGTAGGCTGGAGAAAGAAGGGGAAACCGCCCTGTGGCTTCTGGTCAGTTTCACTTCCCACTGATCAGCTGTTAAACTTAAGGAGGGGGAGCGAAACTGACCAGAAGGGGGCGGGGCCAGGCAGCTTCCCTTCCCTTCCCCAGCCTCAGGTCTCCAGGTGGTCACAAACAATATCCACCCAGGGAAGACCATCTACAGTTCACAACTATGTTCAAAACTATATATTGTATTCATTGAAATGCAAAGAAGGGTTAGTGGTCACAACCCAATACAGTCTATAAACATAGATCCAACACTGTGCTCATAACACTTAAACATCGTTTAAACAAAGAACATATTCGGAACCGTCAGTAGGCTCTTCTGTAATTCCATACATAGATAGTGTCCATAGACCTCCAAACAGGAAGTAACTGCAGCAGAAGACGCCCACTGTGGAAAGAATAACAGCTGGACACCTCTCCTGGGTATAAACCAAGCATTTCAATGATCTTCAATAGCGGCTGGTAAGACGGAACCCAATTTCCGAAGTAACACAGGCACAACTCAAAATCTTCAATGGATCTATGCTTATAAGACTGTATTGGGTCGTGGCCACTAACCCTTCTTTGTATTTCAATGAGTAGAATATATAGTTTTGAACATAGTTGTGAATTGTAGTTGGTCTTCCCTGGGTGGATATTGTCTGTGGCTATATTTCTACACTAAGGGTTCCCTGTTGTCTTTGGCGATCTCCAGGTGGTGGCTGGAGACCCCCTGGCGTTACACCTGGTCTCCAGGTAGACTCTGTGGGATTGCATCCCATTGAAGTCTCTCCCCTCCCCAAACCCTGTGATCCTCAGGCTCCACTCCCAAAACCTCCAGCTATTTATTATTTTCAAGCATGACGAGTGCCCCCCAAGAAGAAAATTTGCCCCACAAAATGAAAAATCCGGGCCAAGCCAGACACAAAATGGCTGCCGCAGCAAACCTCCAGTCACACTGTGAAGTTCCTTGTGCTGTGGTGGGAGCTCTGCCAAAGCCACCTCCAGTGGCCAGTCAGAGGCCTTGCTGGGCAGAAGCCCCAGCCGGCCCCTCCCACTTCCTAGAAACACTTGTCAGGCACCAGCGAAGGTGTCGGTGGGTGCCCAAGGGCGCCACATTGGGGACCCCTGGTCTAATCCTTCAGAGTCAGCTAACCCATTAGCCATGTCCCGTGGCAGAGAATTTCTTATGTTAATCAAATGCGCCCACCAGAAGTGAACTGAGCTTTCTGGTATGATCTCACTGACTGGGTTTTATTTTATTTTTTAAAAACTGAATTAACTTGGGGAAAGCAGATGTTTGGCCTGGGGCAGCTGGGAAGCAGGAGCTGTTTAGAGGAGGCAGGGTTTCCCAGAACGTCTCTCGCAGTTGTCTGAAATAATCTTTTGGTTCCTGATTGGTTTGATTTCTTGCTGATCCTCGGCTGTCCCCTCCAACGGACACAGGAAACGGGGACATCTTGTCTTATGAAGACGCAAATCGAGCCATGCAGACGGACGTCTCGGGGATCATGATTGCAAGGCAAGTGGCTTCACCTCCCTTTCTTTGTCACAGGCGTGAAGGGAAAAGTACCCTCAACAGCAGGGAAAGGATGCCTCCACCCCCCCCCCCATGTTGAAGATTATAGAGGCCTTTCTCATCCGTACATCAAGCTTACAAATCATCTTGCCCAACCTGGATAGCCCAGGCCAGCCCGATCTTGTCAGATCTTGGAAGCTAAGCAGGGTCAGCCCCGGTCAGTATTTGGATGGGAGACCTCCAAGGAGTACCAGGGTCATGACACAGAGGCAGGCAATGGCAAATCAGTTTGGGGAGAGCCAGGTTGATGTAGTGGTTAGGAGCGCAGACTCTAATCTGGGAGAACTGGGTTTAATTCCCCACTCCTCCACATGCAGCTGCCAGCGTGACCTTGGGTCAGTCACAAGTTCTCTTGGAGCTGCTCTCTCGTGCAGTTCTCTCAGAGCTCTCTCAGCCCCACCTACCTCAGAGGGTGTCTGTTGTGGGGAAGGGGAAGGAGATTGTAAGCTGCTCTGAGACTCCTTCGGGTAGTGAAGGGGTGGGGTATAAATCCAGTCTCTTCTTCTCTTCACTTCTGAACGTCTCCCGCCTTGAAAATCCTATGGGGTTGCCATTATGGGTGTGCATTCGGTTTTGCCGAATTGAAAAAATACCTGGGAAATACCTTATTGGTATTTTTCAGGTATTTGTTAAGATTCTCTAATCTGATTCGGCTGGCCGATAACGTCCTCCTAAATAAAAGCCGATCTTATTCAGCTTTTATTCGAGGAGTCAGGTAGGGAAGCCATCAGTTTCAGTGAAACTGACCAGCTCTGCCTACCCTTCCTTCCCTTGGCTTGCCTGGGCGTCCCACAGCCGCAGGGAGCCCGGGCAAGCCGAGCCTTGGGGGGAAGACAGTTGCCACGGGGTGCCCAGACAAGCTGGTCTGGGGAGGCAGGCAGACTGGGGAGGGGGTGGCATTTAAACATGCCTCCTCCCCACCCTGTCTTTCCTTAGCCCCCAGCTGCTTGTACTGGTCAATTTCAGTCCCCAGCTGATCTGCGGGAGTGAAACTGACCAGAAGTTGAGCCTGGGGAAGGAAAGGCTTCAGTGCCATTATACTCCATGAGCACTTTCCCCATAGGGTGTAATCGTGCGGAATGTATTCGGCAGTACCGATTTTTCCCGAACCCCAGTATCTCACCGATATTGGGATTTGGGAATATCTGTATATACCAATATTTTTCGGGCTTGGTTTACCCGAACCCGAAAAATACCTATATATATATATATTTGTGCACCCCCCTAGTCATTTGCAATATGATGGCACTTTCCATACAAGCATGCAAAGGGTCCCAGATTTGGTCCTCCCTTAAAGGATCTGGAGAAAGACCTTTCTGAAGACCCTGGAGAACTGTTGTCTGTCCCGTGGAGATCCATTTTAATAGGAAAGCAAGGTACAAATCTTTTGAATTTAAAGAGCCCCTTATTTCTGCTGTTCTCGGCCTTAAAACTCTCCTATTTTGGAGTGAGGCCCCCCCCCCGGCAGCACAAGATTTCTGGTTTTTCAACTATGGCATGTTTTTAGATTTTTATCCGTAATGCAAAATGCATGCAGTCACAGGTGGAAGGGCAGGACTGATACTTTGATCAGTACAATGGTTTTGTCTTCCGGCCACAGGGGGGCACTGATCAAGCCATGGATATTCACGGAAATCAAGGAGCAGCGGCACTGGGACATTTCTTCTAATGAACGGCTGGATCTCCTTAAGGACTTCACCAGCTACGGCCTGGAGCACTGGGGGTCGGACACGCAGGGCGTGGAGAAGACCCGGAAGTTCTTGCTTGAATGGCTTTCGTTCCTGTGCAGGTATCTTTTCTCCCTGACTTCTCCCGGGCGTTCCTATTTCTCCATGACCCCCGATACCCGTAGAGGGGGATCTACAGTGCCATCCCTTTGCCCAATGAAACAGGGAACAGTGTCGTCAGCGCTTTGTGATCCAGCCTCGGTGCTTAGCGCTAAAGACGAATTAAGATTCTGTGAAGGATTCCGCAGTCTGAATCTTACATAACGGCATCTCTTAATGCAGAATCCCGTTCCGGTTGGCTAGGTGGGAAGGAAAGGCACCACAATAAATCCTGCTGTGTCCCCTTTCTCTGGTTTTGTAGGGAATTTACACCATACATTTAGTAGCTTTTGCGAAGGCCAGAAAATTGGGGAGTGCAGAATTTGGGCAGGTTGTGGTGAGGCTAATATTTGCCCAGCGGAGAGTCTCTGGGCTGCCTGTTGATGATCATCTCTGTCTCAAAAAAAACCAACAAAACAACCCTGATGATGCCAGGGATTGAACCCGTGCCCTTCTGCATGCAAAGGATATGCTCTTCTGAGCTGTTGGCCTCCTTTGCCCACACGGCAAACAGACCGTGGATGTTTTACATTCCACGTGCCGACATCACCCTTCAACCTACTGCCAGAGAACAGTTCTCCCAGGACCGCAGAAAGAGCTTCCCAGAGTTAAAGTCAGAAATTGTCCTGCTTGGATTGGGATCTCCTAAAATCATGAACCACAGCTCTGCGAAAAACAAAAGAAATAGGCTTGGAGTGAAAGAAATAGTCTGAGCAAAGCCCCAAATTTGCAGCGGCCTGATAGAACTGGAGAGATACGTTCTCCTAGATTAAGTTATCATGTTTGCCGCAATAGAGTCCGGTGGGACCAGTGACTGTGAAACTGACAAGGTGCTGTTTGATGAATGTGTGAACATCGTGCCAAACCTGCACTTTGATGTATTGTTTTGGGGAACCCACAGTTTGGTAACACTTCACACTGATATTTACATAATAGTATAGAAAAACTTTAAAAAAAATAAAAATAAAAAGCACAAAATAGAACTACCTTAAGCGTACACAGGGGTCATTTCCTGCAGGAGCAAAGCTCCGGCAGTAAGGAGCCCAGGGGGCGGGCACATGCAACAAGCCCCACACCCTGCTCCCAGCTGTCCTCAGTCAGAGCAAGAAGCAGCCAGGGAAGTTGCAGAGCACCCCCCCCCCCACCGCCCACAAGAGAGCACACACAGC